CCACCCTGCCTTCTTTCTACGTGTACTCCCTACTGATACTTTTCAATCTTGCTCATCGATGACGCGTATTTTAGGTTACAACTCAATCAACGGCCTGTCATTGTGCTAGCCCTGCCCTGAACCATCTCTTGCAAAACCCCCATCTCTCGACGCCGCGTCTGCATCCCCCCTTTATCACCCGCTACAACGTACCAGTTCTGCAACATGCCCCTTGGGATCTGATGTTTGTGAGTCATGCCAAGACGGCTGTAGCTACTAATGTCTAGCTCCACCCGCCTGCCTTCGGCTCCTCATAAACATCCCATAGGTATGTATATTGTGCACACACTAGTTGTGTCTCGCTCTTGCCCTTTCCGTAAGCCTTGTTGCCTGACTTACCTTTTGTATGATTGCATAGACATTGTTGCGTACTTGTGACTTTGGCCTCGGGAGCATCCTTGCTCCTGCTCACCCAGCGACTAGCTCTGCTAACCCTAACCCGCTTTTTTCGCGCACAGTAGGTGTGTAGACTGGCTACATTCATGTCTGCCTTCTTCCATATATAGTAGTTCGCGTCCAATCATCATTATCATCGAAAACCAAACTCGAATTGTGTGATCATTTGTCAGCTACTTCTTGAACATGACAAGTGACCATTTCGCAGTGTGGGCATGTATGGTAGAATTTGCACAAGCCACTGACCATGTATGTTCATGAGCCCAGTCAATAATGTACATTATCGGTCTTAGTTCCCCTACAGTATGGTAGCTGCTGTCCGAATGCTCAGCGAGAAATGGTTATTAATGTCCAGGCGCCCTGCAAGGTCTGGCCATTGCACACCATATCTGGCGGATTTGGTACGGGTTTCCCATCCCTTGCTCATACCCTGTCAATCTGGTCAGACTGGCGAAACCTGGACGTCACTGACCATCTGTTTCGTTCATTTGCTGATGTATGCCCTCCGTTAAGCGCTCATCCGTCGGCATCTTCCTCATGTCATAAACTACGAAACTCAAACTGGGTCTCCTAGCAACGTCTTCTAACACTGGCCACACTTCTTGCCAGGTTCCGCGGTAGTTCATCACCGACTTACATCCGACCTCAGGGTAGGCTTCTCCTTGAAAAGGCTCACTCTCGAGCCACCCGCGGGCACTCCGGCGTGTCACTTAGGCTGCATGCTATATGATCCTGCACATGGTCCGTCGACAGTAGGCATTGACAGATGGATGGTTTCTCCCGCTCTTTGCCCGCGTATCTCATGAAGCTTTGCTATACAGGGAAACGAAGAGCTGGTGGCGTCCATGATGGATCATGCGCTTCCCAGAGTTTGCATTGCGCTGTTTTTTGATAGATATACACGTCTACTGCCGATATAACACTCTGCTCCTACCCAGCACGCATAGGGTCCTTCTATGCACGCCCCAGTGCTACCATTCTGTGACCGCCTTTCCATCTAGTCGGCAGCGTCGTTATGGGCGACTACCAGGTACGTTTCATTCTAGGACAAGCCTCCGCAAAACCCTCACCTTAGAGGGGCTATAGGGAGACGATGCTCGGTCGACGCTCAGGTCTTGTCTAGTCGTCTTAGTTCTGGAGGCAATCGCGTTTGGGGCTTTCGTCATCGTGTACAGCAGATGCAGTTGGACTTTGCTTGACCGACATCGGTCGCAGGCCCATGGGCGATCGGTACGCCAACTTGCGCTACTGGCAGCCAGCACGGCAATGTTCCTGCTCGCAGTACTTGTAAGTTTCTCCCCTTCCTGTCCCCGGGTTCAGCCGCTCACACGTGTCTGCAGCATATAGCACTAGACATCCATATTGCTCTATCAAGCTTCCTCATGGAGGATCGGAGTATTGAGACTGTTGCAACACAGCTCGATACTTTCAATGCGGTGGCCGACGCTTTTGGCGCAGTGAAATTCGCGATATACGTTACCCAGCTACTTATTGGTGACGGGGTCATGGTGTGTCGACGGAGTGATCGTCCGGCTCCGTTCGAGTCGCGCCTAACTTCAGCTGCTAGATATATCGTGCGTATGTCGTCTGGGATCGCTCGTTCAAAGTGATTGTACTTCCATGTGTCTTCCTCGCTGGAGAGCTCAGTACGTGCTATCTCTTCATCGTCTTCGCTCCTGCGGTTGTACTCAGATGCACTCCAGTACTCGGGTACTTCATCTCACTTGCTGGACCGTACGCACCCAAATCTTGGGCAATGAATACTAGGGCGCTCGTCAACGCGTTCTTCCTGCTCTCCGTCGTGACCAATCTCCTTTCGAGCGGTGCGTCATTCCCACCCTCCGCTGCAACAGCATTACCTGACGCATCCGTAGGCCTCATCATGGCTCGGGTTCTTTCATTCACGTCTCGTACCGAAAAATTCAAACGCTTCTCTCAAGACTCGCAAGACGGACGGTTCAAGAGTATAACACGACGCGTTGTCGAGTCCATCCTCCAGTCCGCAGCAATATACTCGATCGCGTCCATTTCGCTCGCGGTCACCTCCTTCGCAAACTACACGGTCGCCTTCCCCGCATGCCACAGCATGTTCCCGTCTGTCATCGTAAGCGTTTCCTACTGCTCCCGGCTGTTCCCACACCCTGATTGACAGCTCGCATCCCTCTTCTCTCGCTTTGCCACCAAAACCTATGCATCAAATCGTGTTGCGCCTCGGTCGGGCACACCCGGCCTGTGACCGCAGGGGATGGTATTTCTGCTCATCGTGTTGCGGATATCATCCAGCGTGAACGCTACGTCCAGACATGGTTCGTTGCTTTCCCAGACAGGTGGCTCAGTCCTGTCGCTATCGTCGGCGCCCTCGGGCGAAGAGAAGCCTGGTCTCGACGCCGAACGCGAAGGGCATGGGCGCAATAGCGAACAGAAGGACCGCTGGCGGCTGTCTTCCCCCATCGCGATTCACGTGTCGGTGTCGAGGACCTCGGATTACGAGGAAGTCGCGACGCTTAGTCCGAGGTCGCCTCCTGTCAATGGGGCTGCTCGGCCAGAATGTTGATCGTGGTCGTCGAGCGTCCCCGAAGCATACCCCATCTACTCCAAGGTTTGTAGCTCTTGACTCTGTCTATGAGGAAGGGCAGCCACGAAGTGTGCCATACGGACTAGTCTGTCTTCTGTCTTCAAGTCAGGTTCCGACAGATGATTAGGCAGACGCCAATTGCGTCATTATACCTCTCTTAGAGTCTCTCATTTGTGGTGTACGCAGTCAAGTGTATGGGAGTGTAAGATACCAAATTCGTTATCGGAGACGCGTATACCAAGTCCTCGAGTACGGTTTCTCTTCGTTTTGGACCACATTAGACTGTCTCCTGTAAAGATTCGTGTTTCCCACATGGCGACCGTGGGGCCCCGGTGAATCCCAACGCTGAGATGTAGGAATTTGGGCTCCATCCACTCGCCCGAGGGCCGAGGCGCTCGTTCATGGTAAGCGCGGCCACGTGAGAACGACGTGTCGCGGACGACTCGCATTGCGTCACATTTGCTTGGCACACGACAGACCTGCACCGAGTCCATCCACCATTTCTTCATCTGCGGCATTCAATCGTTTCATCATAAGTAGAGGTGCTACGGTGTGCATATCCGAAGCATGCCAAAAATCAGTAGGTCCGTTTGGCGTCGTTGTAAGTATCTCTTCGGGAGCGTATCAACGCCTTACGGGCGCCACAATGCCCATTCGTGCAAGCGAGCTCACTGAGCGCCTCGGACTTCGTGAAAACCCCGATGTCGAGAACGAATCATCTTCGTAGTTTTCACGAAGCAGATTCGTGATACTCACGAAGCTAATGCGGGGTATCAGGATGTGGCGCCCATTTGCAACTTCGTGAAAACCTTCGTGGTCAACCAGTACATTTCTGTCCCTGGTCACGAAGTTGTTCCTCACGTTTTCACTTCGTGATGTCTTGTTGTTATATCATGGTACCAGTATGTAGAGATTTATGCCCCATAGTGCAGCGCAGGATGTCTCCGCAAATGACCCAATACGAGTCAGTCACCGCGTTTGCAGTCAGAGATGGAAGTCACTCAACCAATGTGTGCTTTCAAGTAGGAATAAATCAACAAGCTACATGGCATGTGACGATGTATACATATGAAGGAGCGACAATAGTTGGGAAGGAGAGCGGACGTCAATCCAGCCAACTCGGGCCCAGGACCGCACGCGCTCCATGCATGCGAGCATCCACGCCGGCGCCCAGATATCCCACGCATGTGAGCTTCCATGCCGCCATGGCGTCTACCAGCGTTCAGGCTCTTGCGGCGCGACCACGACCACGACGAGTGCTACCTCCGGCGGCGGAGGGGGCTCTAGTTCCGGTGTTGTTGTCACCACCATTCCCGTTATTCGACTGGGAGGACTTGCGGCCAGCGCGGGGTATGTAGCCCCGGATACGAGCGTGCTCGCGAGCATTCTGTAAGTACATCTTTAGTAACTCTGCAGTAGCCCAATCGTTCTTGTAACGCTTGAGGATAGGATACTCCTTGCGAGCCTGATGGAGAGCATGTGTTCAGAGGGAGACATTTGTGAGTACTACTGATATGCACGTACCGCCCGGTAAAGCTTAGAAAGATTGTCAGCACTCTGAATGCGAAAGTTTTTCTTCCAGTCAATGCCACACGTGGGAACAAGGGAGCGGATGTAAGTCTGCGCATCGATGGTGTGGGAGTGCAATGTAAGCGAAGATGATAGTCTCGGCCGTGGGATATGGAACTCACCTGGATATTACGAAATAGCTCGTCCTTGTCCTTTAACCCCATCTCATCCTGAATCGCGATCCGCCCTCCGGCTTTCGTTTTGGGCCTCTCGATGGTCGGACCAGGGTTCTCGGCATCAACAGGGACTATACCAGGGCCTACGGTGGTAGCAGCAACAGCGCGCTCAATTGCAGCCGCAAGAGCGATGGCCTGCTCTTGTATCTTGTCCTGGGCCTCAGCTAGGTTTGTCTCAGCGAGAATTTGGTCTCATAACAGTGTTTGTTAGGTTCATTGTCCAGGTGTAGTACTGTTGACGTCGGTGAGGGGAATACTTACCAGCTTGAGCTTTCTCCAGCTTTTCAGTCAGGATGGCCACCTGGGCTTGTAGGTCCTTGATGGTGGGGCGCTGTGTGTTTTCGTGGGGGAAGATGATGGGTATACGTGGCGATCAGTCAGCCTGTACTATAGAGGTGAGGATTTCTTTGGCTTACCGGTGGCATAGTCGAGAATTGATGGTGTATTCCACAGAAATGCGGCAATGTAGCAGGGGCTAATCAATGTTGGTGTACGGCCGCAGGGCAATGAAATAGTAATGTTGAGACATCAGCAAAATCTGGTCCTGTCTGCGTCGTAGGGGCGAGGATGATTTGTAAGCGCGCCTGGTGATCTGAGTCTTTGTTGTCCTACTTAGGGAATTCATGGCAAGCAACTCGAGCGTTGACATCCACTCTCCTGCTCTGGCGCCACATCTTTCTCTGCCGTTCATCTATATCTGTCATTTTCTATACTCTAGCTGCTGCACATTTCACTTCATATGCTGTGTCTACAATGCCGAAGGCCCCCAAATCAGCGGCACGCATTCCCTGCGACTGTGGATGTGGCGAGACGTCTGTACACCCAAAAACGGTTGAACGGCATCGCAAAGGCAAGGCTCGACTAGGGATCAGGGCATCTGTCTCTTCAGCAAAGGCTCCGCCGCCACCAGGTGTCGCTCCGGAAACCACCAGTGACCCTCCCGCCCCTTCCGCCTGGATCCCACCAGTCGAACGTCGTCGGATTTTGGCCGAATTTTCCGAAGACGAAGCTTTAGCTACGTTAGGGCCATCGGAGGTGTTAGAGAGCGGTGCACCAACGCACCAGCAAGGGCATAGTGTATCCATACCGGATGCAGGTGAGTCGCTATACCATTTCTTGTGCAATCTTTATGATACATGTGCTCACTGTCATTGTCATAAAAACAGCGTTCATCCAGGCTTCACCACATGACGATCCAATGGAGGAGTCAGCAGATGTGGAAGAGCTCCGTCTTGTTCAGGAGCAGGTATGGTCAGGGCACCGAACGCATTTGCGGACTACGGTCGAGGATGCCGATGAAGACGAGGATACATCTGAGCTGGGGAGTGATGATGAGATCTTGGGAGATGGCGGAGTGATGGGCGATAGGTCAGACGAGGAAGACGATGAGTACACGGCCATATCCGTCTGGGACGAGCTTGCAGAGGGTGTGCTACGAGCGATAGGGTGCACAGGTACGCCCAAAAAATTTCACCTTTCTGAATAATCTGACACATTTCTGTCTTAGTTGATGATCTTACGGAGGAGGATCTTGAGTGTCTGCGCCCGTTTGCGCTCAAGGTGGATACACATATGCCTGGGAAGACATTCGAGAAGCTTGCATACACATTCCCACATGCTCGTCTGTCATCTTGGAAGGCTATCCAATCCCGAGTCGCCCAGCTCTCAGGATTTGAGCCCGAACTGTATCACTGCTGTGTCAATTCATGCTGCTGTTTTGTCGGCCCACATAGTGATCGTGAAACTTGTCCGTACTGCGCCGAAGCCCGCTTTGATGCCAAACATTGTCCTCGAAAACTCTTTGTCTATCTTCCAATCACACCCCGCCTGAAATCCTATCTTGCCAACCCCGATATGGCCAAGAGGATGGAGCATCGGGGACGGGACTACGAGCACAACCCCGACGTCATCAGAGATGTCTACGACTCCTCTCACTACCGGAACCTTCGGAACAAGAAGGTTGTGGTCAATGGACGTGAGCTCCCCCATCGCTTCTTTGAAGATCCACGAGACATTGCCCTGGGCCTTTCCACGGATGGATTTGCACCTTTCCGTCGACGCACCAAGACCGCATGGCCACTTGTCTTGTACAACTACAATCTCCCTTCGGATATACGCTTCCACCTCAAGTATCTCATCGGGCTCGGTGTCATTCCAGGCCCGAAGAAGCCCCATGACATGGACTCGTTTTTGTGGCCGCTTACTCAGGAGCTGCTTCGTCTGGCGATCGGAGTTCACACATACGACATACGCAGCGATACCTTCTTTGCTCTTCGGGCCTTTCTAATCCTTATCTTTGGCGACATACCTGCAGTATCTATGCTCATGCGCATGAAGGGTCACAACGGCCTTTCTCCCTGTCGTATGTGCGGGATCAAGGGTATCCGAATACCGGACTCCTCAAATCCTATCCATTATGTTCCTCTCGATCGCTCTCGCCATCCCCATGCTACTACCTCCCCGCAATCTATTTCTATTTACAACCCAGCTTCCCTGCCTCTTCGAACGCATGACGAGCTTCTCACGCAAGCCCGAGAAGTCCAATTTGCCCGTACCGAGAGCGAGTCCGAACGTCTGGCGAAGGAGTATGGCATCAAGGGTGTGCCATTGCTTCATGTACTTCCCTCACTGTCCTTCCCCGGATCGTTTCCCTACGACTTCATGCATCTCATCTGGGAGAATGTCGTCAAAAACCTGATGCAGCTCTGGACAGGGCAGTACAAGGGACTCGACACAGGGAGTGAGGACTATGAGATCCTCCCGAGCATCTGGGAAGCGATCGGAGATGCAAGCGCACAGGCCGGAGATACCATTCCTGGTCAGTTCGGTCCCCGTCCGCCCAACGTTGCGAGTGACAAGCTGTCATGGACAGCTGATACTCGCTCGTTCTGGTTCCAATATGTCGGGCCTGTCCTTCTAGCACGACGTTTCACACACCGCAAGTACTACACCCATTTCATCGCCCTTGTACACATTCTTCGGAAATGTCTCCAATATGAGATGCCTGTCTCCACGGTGGCTGAGATACGTCAAGGTTTTATCGACTGGGTCAAGGACTATGAAGTGTGAGTTGTACCATCTTATTTCCCTGCAGAATACGTGCCAATGCTGATCATAAACTCAATCAGAATGTATTATCAGAAGGATCCTCACCGCCTTGCCATGTGTCCACTTACCGTACATGCATTGCTCCATGTGGCTGACAGCATTGAGTTTATCGGCCCTGTCTGGACGTGTTGGGCTTTTTCCATGGAACGCTATTGTGGCTCTCTTCAACCCGCAATTCGCAGCCGCCGCTATCCTTATTCGAGTCTCAATCGCTTCCTTGTGGATCAAGCACGCCTGGCACATCTCAAGCTCACCTATCCAGGTCTCGAGGACGTCCTCCGTCTTGCACCACCGCCCACACAGGGGGGAACCTCTATTATAGGCTGTGAGCTCTTTCCCACCTCTGACAGAACTTGAAAGCCATCCATGTGGTACATCGCTGACAAAACCACTCAAATTTCGCCCTTTCCTAATCTAGATGACACCTGTGTTCTTCTTTCACCTCGGCATCCATTGAATCTCTCCAGAGGCCTCACGGACAAGATTCTAGCATGCTTATGTACACGCTATGATGTCCCCCTTGCTCACTTGCGACGTGTTCTCCCCAAGACTGTTCAAGAGTGGGCGAAGCTCCGCATCCTCCCCGCTGGTGATACCATACGATCCTCCTCTCTCCAGGCCGCGCTTGAAGATAGGCGTGATTGCACCTTCGTCAGGGTATGTACCACTTACTGTGCATGAGAGGTCTCTAGTCACTGACGTTTTGATGTGCGTGGGAGTGTAGTATGAACAACTTGTCGACATTCATGCTCGGAACCATCACATACAAGCCGAGTATGAAGGCAATACCTTTTATGGACAGTTGCAACATATCATCGTTTTGGAGATGCCCACAGGTACGTTCACATCTGGTGAAACCCTCATATTGGGGGTCATCCAGTCTTGTGCTGTTGAGAGGCACAATCACGACCTCGATCTGCACTACTATTCCCGGCTTGGGGCGACGGAGGTGGTGGACATCCAGACTATTCAGTGCGCAGTGGGGCGGATACGGGATCGGAATGAGTGGGCAATATTGGATCGTAGTGGTGAGCTCTCACGTGCACTGTATACAGAGGATTCAGAGGAGCTACACGTGTTGTAATCGCCTCAATGCATTCGGTTTCTTGTCTGCTCGCATGTTCTACCATGCTAGGCGCCGGAGTGTACGGCTTTTGTACTACTCGACGTCCGGCTCGTATTCAAACCTCCTAACAACTTTTGCGTATACATATCTTTTAATTCCCATGCAATGTATAGCCCTCCCCAATATCATGGAATTTGGTGGAGAACTAACGTGCTACATGAGCTCGCTTTTGGACAAGCTTCGGGCCAACTAAGCGCCTTGCAGCCGCCTCTGCTCCATGACTACTTCGTGGCTACCCCGAAGCTAACTCGTGCTCTCACATACTGATCGCGTCACGAAGTGCACCACGAAGAGAAAAGGATCACGAATCAGCCACGAACTCACGATATCAATTCGTGGATTTTCGATGTTACTTCGTGTTTTTCACGAACTTTCGGGCGCGTAGTGCTCGAGGTCATGGTACCCCTACCCCCTCTATTGCAGGTAACAGTACTGTGGTCTCTTTTGAATTTTGACTCCTCCAGAAACCGCCACCACTCCCTCGCGGGTATGTCATCCGGCGGCACCGAAAGCCATGCTGCTGACTGACGTCAATTCTCTCCACTATAACAGTTAACATCCCACTGTGCTGCGTTGGTGCATAAAATGTCAGACATGTTCCTGCCAAGACTTCGCATCCCCACTCGCCTCTTCCACCCGGCATAGTCTCTCGACGCTATGCTCCGCTACCCTATTGTCGCGCTCTCGCTCGTTGTCCTCGCGGCGGCGATCCCTGCGCCTGCGCCCGCACCAACTCCAGCGGCTGCTCCTGCTCCCCAGGCATTGTCTAGTGCTGTTTCAATATTCTCGAGTGTGACTGGAGCTGCCGCTTCAGCTTTGCCAAGTATGTTTGACCTCATCTTCAGTATGTTGGCCTCCTGACATTGTTCGTTCATAGCCATCCTAGGGTCTTGGCCAAGCCTGAGCGACATCGAGAAAAAGGTTGGGGTTAGCAACGGGAACGACTCCAGATTGCAGAACATATCGGCTTCTGCGCTCCTCATCCCGTCTTATGCAAACTTCTCTGGAGAGTAAGTGACAAAAACTTGTCGGGTTCGCTGTGCGTATCTGACGGGATCGGTTCAGCTGGAACCTGCGGTTCTATGGCCTGGCATACAAGCTGCCGAATGTCAGCACCTCCGATCTCGACTCCCTCATTGACGGCCTCTCTACCAATAACCTGACCTCGACGCAGCAACAACTTCTTCAGAACCGTACGCAGGATATCGCCTCCATTCCTATACCCAAGGCGAACCTCACTGCCCTCGTCCTCGCCAACGGTTCTGCTGTCACCAATTCCTCCGGCATTCAGCTCGCGACCGCTGATGATGTTGGCGAGTTCGACCAGTTTGTTACCGTTTCTGGCCTGGGCGGCAACGACTCCAGTACAGTGCAGGTTGTACAGACGGGCGTCTTGAACGTCGCCGGGCCTGGCAATGGCACGATTATCCTCGTGCCAAGTCAAGGCATCTCAATCGTGTCTGACATAGATGACGTCATACGCATTACCAAGGTGTACGTCCCGAACGAAGGCCTCAAGAACTCGTTCGTACAGCCGTACGTGAACGTACCGGGTATTCCTGAACTGTACGCGAACTGGTCGAAGAGCCTTCCGGGCGTGGCGTTCCACTACGACACAACGACGCCCGTGGAGCTCACGCGGACATATGTGGATTACCTATTCAGCAACTACCCCCTCAGTTCTCTGGAGATGCGCCCCATCAACCTAACGGACCCCAGCCAGGTCTTGGATGCGAGGCAGAACAGCTTGCTGAAATTGTTCCAGACGTTCCCTCAACGGAAGTTTGGTACGTCATATCTGTACTGGCTATCTCTTGAGGTTCTCAGCTGACGGATCTGCTCCCGATAGTCCTCATCGGTGACACATCCTCCTCGACGCTGCTCTCCGCGTATCCCCAGATCGCTCAGCAGTTCCCGAACAACATTGCCTGCATCTTCATCCGCAACACGTCTTCTACCGACTCCGATGACAAGATTCCGTACGACACAAAGCCGTTCCAGAACGTCAAGAACGGCACCTACTTCTTCTACCGTACTGCAGAGGGTACGGGATCCTTCTCTTACACTCTTGCGATGTATGGCTTACAACGTGGTGTATCACGCAGACCTGGCGAAACTTGATATTGTGAACGGCCAGTGCGTCAATAGCACCATTCCCCAGAATATCACTTTCGGCGAGCAGGGCGGTGTCCTCGATAGCGGGAGCAATGGTGCTGCATCGCTCGGCCACATTCAGTACGCAGCGGCCGGTGTCGGCTTAGTTGTCTCTCTTTTCCTTGGCTTTATTTGAGCCAAACATGGTGCTTTGCACTGTATACTGTCTCCACTCGAATGCACACACACAGGCTCGTTCCGATAAAGGACCCGGACTTCTCACTCACGACTTGTTGCATTTATCGCATACACGCATTGCATGTTGCACTCAACACTACGCTTTGTATTCTACCGTATCACTTGTCATACTTGCTGTACCTGGTGGTACAACCAATGATACGTTCGTTTCACCTGGAGTTTGTCAGTTGGGCGCTCCAGTTACCATTTCGAGAGCGACAGTCTTCGCCCGATCAAATCTGGAGGATAGCTCTGGGTTAGCGGCTGAAGCGCGTCTTGCACTCGTTCGAGCACTTCGGCTTTGGCGGCCGCTTGTGCATCTGTGCTGTCTCCGTTCATAACTTGGCTCGCTCTATATGTGACTGCTCTCGCTTGAATATACACTTCGCTAGTGACTGGCCATTCCAGATAGAGGAGAGCACAGAGTAGACCTGGTCCGGCAGGACATTGTGTCTGTGTAGGCGGCACCTAACACACTGGTGTAAGGAGCCAAGTAAACACTCCTGGGGCCCATTGACTCAATCACTGGATGAAGACGCAAAGACGTCTACAGCAACGCTGCACCGAATACCTGCTTGCGAGCAATCTTCAATTCGAAGAACTGATCCTCATCTCCTTCCATGTCCCGTGCGGAGTCCCAAGCGCCCCCCAGCGGCCGCAAGCGGTCCAGCACAGTCCATTCCATCTTCACCAACGCTCCTCCCGGTGCAGTCTCCGCGGGTCCGCTCCAGATTGGCGACTCGCGCGTGCTGACGGCGTGGGTGAACGAGCCCGTCTCCGCGCTCGTGAAGCTCAACCATAGACATTGGCCCGGCGTCGCAGAAGGTGACTTGATATGCATCGCGAGCCCGTTTCCGGAACATAAGCCGGGGTTCTTGTTCGTCGCGCCTGCGGAGGACACAGGGTTCAAGCATCAGCTGCAGGTGAGTTGTATTGTCTGGTATGGCAGGGAGCGCACCGGCCGTGTGAGACAGGGTAGAGGCTGATGCGTCGTGAAGATATCATTGCCAAAGGCTGTCTTGGAGAAGTTTGGGTTGAAGAGTAACAGTGAGGTTACTCTGACCATAGTATGTTGTCATGATTGTTCATCGTCCGAGCCCGTATCTGACTTCTGACATGCCTAGGTTGACAAGGAGAAGTACAGCGCAGATTTCGTAGAGTTCGTTTTCCAAGACCAGTATCTGGGACGGAACGACATGTGGAGGCTGGGACGTGACTTGGTTGGGCAATGTCTGTACGTTGAACAGCAAGTTTCGTTCATCGGCGTTATCGTAGCGAAAGTGCAAGCACTGTATATCGAGGGCAACAAGGTAACTCGACCATATTTTCTAGATGTGTGCTCACTATCGTCCAGGTGTCCTCTGCGTACATCTCCCCGGCCACCAAGGTGATCTTCCGCTCGCTTTCTGCCAAGGTGACCATCTTCATTCAAGTGTGCCGCGAGCTCTGGGAGTTTGCGGGCGACGGCGAGCGGTACAACGAGAAGATCGTGCATTCCTTCCTTCCAGCCCTATTTGACAAGTGGAAGGAAATGGGCACGAGTCACATCGTCACCATCGTTCTCATCTCCCGTGTCTACTACGACCAATCCGAGATCGACTACGCCGCAGGACCGCTTCGGCGAGACGAAGACAGGCGCTGGTACAAGGATTTCTTCAAGGTCATTACCGACCTCGAGGTGCTGTACGACTGGAAGCCGACTCTCGTCAGCCTGAAGGACTCCTTCTGGGCCTTCCAGCGCGACATCCTGCTTGCTCACCACTTCCATCGCTCCTCTTCGCTCGACGGCCATGATGGCCCCATGGGGGACCACGTCCGTCTCGTCGGTCAGATCTCGTACGCGCACGATGGCCCGCTCCTCGAGGCGCTCAATCTCGCACTCAAGCCGACGGAGACGCACTACATCGACCGGTCGCTGTCGCTAACGGGTTCGTCGACGATTGTCATTACCCCTGGCACGGGCTACTACCGCGTTTCGAAGCAGCTGCTCAGGTTGACGACGACACGCGTTCTAGACCAGGGGTTTTCGCTCGATCTCGTGTCCCTAGCAAAGCCGCCGTTGCACCAAACACCTATCTTTTGCTTCAAGGGTGTCGAGCCGGACGGACGAGCAGAGGGAAAGACGGGCCCGAGGGCAAACGACCCGCTGTGGGGTGGCGATATCGAGGTAAATGCAGACGGGATGCCGAAGGAAGCCAAGACTTTCTGGTGGGAGCCGTTTTGGATCGAGACGTCGTTCTGGGACAGGCAGATGGACTTGCCCTTCCGCAAGGATAGGTCAGGACCTTTTATTGCGGCGCATATAGTCGCGCGTTCACTGACCAGGTTTGCTCTTAGATTTATTTCGCGCGCCAAAATGCACGAGATTGAGATGTTGGGTCTGCTCGATCACGACGTCCTCTCGAGCATTGAGATTCCCTACCTCCAACAAGAGTCTGATCGCGTCGAGGCGCTATCGCACGAGTGGACATCCGACACGACCGACTCGGACCTCTCCAAGTCCGAGATGCTTGAGAGGAAGACTGTGCTGCTATCTCCAGAGGAAGCGGATCAGTTCGACAACGATGTCTTCACCATACGTCTAGATGTCAAACCGCCAACCACCAGAAATTCTTTGTCGTCTAACTCAAGTGGTCCCACTTTGAGCTCGTCCTTCAGAACCATCGATAAGCGGGCATCCATCGTACGGGTTCCAGACGCATCTCGAATATCTCCCATCGCAGAGAGCCCACGGCCTCGACAGCGACCCTTGTCAATGGCAGCCTCTGCCTTTGACCAAGAGCGAAGGCTTTCTGTAGCCATATCAGGTGGCAACCTGAGCACATCGCCCTCTCAATCGTCGATTCTTTCCGGTCGCTCGGGACATTCGCAAAGAAGCAGAGCATCTGGCGAGAGCCGATCACGCGAGCAGCGCAACTCTGGCATTTCCAAGTTTGCCCCTACATGGCTGCTGAACCCGTTCCGAAGTGGTATCAGTCAGCCTCAGACCTCGCCTGTCTCTGCAGCTGGAATTACTGGGTCTACACCTCCACCTTCGGCTGTCTCGACACCTACGATCACTCGGCCAGCTCAGCGCCTCCCTCAACCTGTATCGATGAGCCAGGCCCGTCCTATCCGTCCCCGTGCCAAAGAAGAGGATTTCCCTGGACTCCATCGAGGTTCCCTAACCCGTCATTCGCCTGTTGGTACCCCGCCGCGCGATGACATCCTCAATAAACGCCGTGGGACGATTACTAGCGTAGCTAATCTTCCTATCCTCCCTACAAATCTTGCCATCAACATACATCCCACGAAACCTCTGGCCACCGTACCCTACGCTCAAGCATCGCTTGCACGCAGATGGCAACACCTCTTCGCTCAGCCGCTCCTCAAGCACGAAATCAAGTGGTGGTCTATGGCCACTCCCGCGTGTCTTCCGCTCACTATGGAGTACTTCCCGTCCACGCATGAACTGGAAAACTCATACGACGTGTTCTCCTACGATTTCGTCTGCGACCCTTCTGAGATGCAGTCGTTCTTGATCCGGCTTCCACCCATGCACGGGAGCCCTGATGAGATGCGGCGAGCGTGGGCACTCGCCATGATGCGCGTTATGGTAGCCATCCGTCTCGCGCAAGGCTTCCAATTCGTCTTACGCCCTTCAAAGAGCACAGGCGACAGTGAGGCCGGCATCCAGAGCTCGTCGCTGAGGAGAACGAAGTCGTATTCGGCCACGGGCGAAGACAGCACAAGCTCCCGCCCGATCGGCGCGGCAACGGTGCTCAACTCGGCGTCCGACTCTGTCTACCTCAGCATGAGTAACGAGATCCACCACATCATGTACACGGGAGACTCCATCCAGGTTCTGCGGTATGTCAGGAGGATGCCGAGGACGCAGCTGTTTGAATACCAGTGTCTGATTTGGCCGAAGTTGGGCGAGGGTTATACAGAGTTGAAGACGACGTTCCGGCCGCATGGTATGGAGAGCTACGGATGGAACCGGTGCGTGTGTTCCATTCACAACGTCAAACCAAACTGGACTGTTAACATGCCTGCAGCCTGGACATGTTGGTTGCAGGTTACGAGAACAAATTTGCCGAGTCGCTCCGGTATTGGCGGACACGTTTCGTGATTATTCCTACGGACGAGTCTCCTCATGCTAGCGTAGCGCCAGGTGGAGAGAAGCTGAACGAGGAAGAGACGAGGCTCTTGGGCATGGACAGACTCGCGGATCTCTTCTCGAGGGCCCGAATCGACATTGACCAGAACACACCCCCGGTACGCTTCATCACGACCGATCTTGGACCTGCAGAGTGCATTCTCGACGAGGGAATTACTGCACAGTTGGACGAAATCCATGCTTCTGGGCCGCTGAAGAAGAAGGTCAAGAGCGAACGGGATATAGCTGATATGTCGTTACCTGCCATCGCTAAGGCCATGCGCGAAGACGATGGTGTGCTCATCAAAGAGCATAGATGGCATGGGCGGAAGTACCCGAACTCGTTCACCGGCACGCAGTTCGTGTCGTGGCTCGTTCGAGAGTTCCGCGACATATCGAATCGAGAGCAGGCCACTGAGTGGGGAGCCAAGCTAATGGAGCAGGGCTTATTTGATCATTGTAGAGGAAGACATGGTTTCTTGGACGGGTCAGTCTACCCCCCTTCTCTCGGTAGTCAAACATCTCACAGGTACCTAGTCACTACTTCTACATCCTGCGAGGGGAGTACATGGTCCCGGTCACTCCTAGGGCAAGCTGGTTCTCTCGCCCAGCGAAGCACGAAGATCCGAACCCCTGGGGATCCAACTCACCGAGATCCTACCAGCCCGGCAAGAGGACAAAGAAACGCTTGCTCCTCCTCAGCCAGAGTGCCATCATTGACGCAGATCCGAAGAAGGTACCAATCTTGTGCCATGACTCCGTCTAGTATCATTAATGTATTCACCAACAGCAAAGCGACCAAGCCGAAACGGTCATCCTGCATCACGATATCATCCATAATCCTGCGACGTGCTTTCATTTTGAGTTGCATTGGATTGGGACGACAGCGCGCTGCATCGATGACCTCTTGCGACAGTGGAGCAGGACTATTGAACGGTACGGGCTCAAATTGGTCGAAGCCTACGTCGACCAGATTTGCGATATCAGGGAGAAAAACGCGTTCCAGTCGTGTTTCCCTATCCCGCTTGCTGTTCCACCTCCACAATTGGACGACGTCGGCAGACACATACCAGATGGCGCACAGGCGAAGCATTACTTCGAATACGCTCTCCTCCGTAAGTGGGGCTTCGTACTGGACATCGAAGGGGCCGACCAGTATCCCGACCAAGTAGACGTCGACTATTCCTATAGGCGGTCTCACTTTAGGTATTCCCAGTGGGTACACCGGTCTGGCGTCGCCTTCGTACAGGTCCTCGGGGGTCGTCAAGGCTTCCTCTTCTTGACCAATAGACTTATGGCACCGGGTCGCATTGGTACGTCTCTGAAATACCACCGACCCGCTGCTGTGGCCGAGGATATTCGCGTCAAGCTACATCAGTTCTGCTCAGATAAGGATGCTCTCACACGGTTCTACGAGGAAGAACTTGTGCTGTTAGATCATGCTCTTGAAGAACCCCCTCCACTGCATATATGACCGCCTCATGTTGTGCAATCATGCATTTGTCGGCTCCTTTCGCGAATATGTCATCATCCGACTTTCCCAGGCAACAATGTACCTTGTGACTGGCTGACATGCATTCCGAGTCAACTTCTCGATGTTGGTATGTCATCGGATCTCGGGTTCTTCCACGATAGCCATGAGGCCGCACTATCATGGCAGAGTTGAACCAGCTTTAACACATCTTTTCTCAGGACCAGAAAGTCGCGTCGCCCGGCTCTGTGCGGTACCGTTAGCCGTTGCCTTCGCTAACACCCATCTCTCATCCCCGGTCAACTCTAGGCGGAGTGTCATCATCACTGCCACGACGTAGTAGATAAAAGCGAAGACATTCCTTGACGAGACGCTCCTCGAAGGATTCATTTCGAACATGATCGACGCAAGATCGCGACAGCAGACGGGCTCTCGCTGCATACTTGCCCGCCTCCTCCGATTGCTTCCACTGCCAGTAGCCGGTAACTATCTTTCGGCTGCGATAAGAGGTACGAGCTTGCGCTTATCAACCTCAATCTCCCTCATGCTCACTTATCACACATTTTTTGCAACGTGGCGTACCTATATACCACCTCGCAAAGCGCACCCGAAGGATCAAGCCTCCGAATTCAGCCCTCGTAACAATCCCCAATCACCAACTCCGCCAGGTGCGATGACCATAGACAGGGACCCAAACCATCTGGCCAACATTGACCATCTCCCTTACGACGTCCTACTCCATATTCTCCGAATTCTTCCATCACGCGACATTGCTCACTTGCTGTCCTGCTGTCGGGGCCTACACGCTCTCGTGACCGAGGAGTCGATTTGGCGTAGTCTCTCAGCTGCCTACGGCCTCACCGATGTGATTCACTTCGGTGGTCGCTCTTGGTACACAGTATACACCCGGCTGCTACAGCCTTACGGGCCTATGCTGGGTTTGTGGGCCGGAGACCACGCCTACACGGGTGACGTCCTTGACATCCGTCTCGGCGTCGGGAGTACTCATCAGCCCGGTGGTATCGTCCTAGGCTGTTGGCGGTTCCCTTCCGTACAGCCTGAGGATCTTGATCGTCCGGAGATGCCAGAGCGTCCTATGTATACACCGCTCATTCATATCAGTCTCCCGTCCGTTGCGGCACCATACGGAGGCGTACAAGTTGCCTGTTGTACCAAACCCGGCACAACACCACCACATCAAGCTTACATCGAATTGTTTTCTTCTACCTCGCAGAGTCTCTTCTTGCACACTCGTCAGGGACGTTATTCCCATCCAGAGTTCCCTCCTCCTGAAATCCAGAATTTCGTTGATCAGCTGCGGTACCCCTATTTACCCCTCCGCGAGTCTACCGTCGTAGATCAAGGCCTATATTTAGCTCCGAATCCAAGAGGCTATGTCGTATACTCCGCGCCCACGAGCCACATCAAACCGCCAGCGATCTCCATCTCCTGCTCGCTGGGGTGCGTCAACCGTGCTCGTGCATTTCATGGATTCCAAGATGACGTGCCTTACCTCCCACGTTATTACCCTCTCCGACAACGAGCCTTGCCTGGAGTCGATCCCGCTACTCGAGAATGGCATCCTTCGTCCCTTGATGGCCTGTGGTTAGGTTCCCATGGACCGCACGGCACGGAATGCCTTTTCTTCCGCTGGGACGGCACTTTGTCTGTCCTGTACGCATGGAAGATCACCGGAGACTCCAACGTACCTCGCGGAGCACTCAGTTGGCGAGCGAACACAAGCGATCCTTATCCGATTTCAGAGTTGCCAGACTGGATACACGATAATGAAATCCCGAACTTGACGAACTCACGGTTCTTTGGGGGTTCAGGTCGGATCAGCGCACGCGGCTACCTGTAAGTATGTCCATTCTTCATGTCGTGTGGTAGCTCAAGCTGCTGTTTAGACCTTACCATTCGAACGAGATGGACATCATTCTGGTAGTTTGCGGAGCTGATGAGGTACGGACGGCGTGGATGGACTCGGGGGACGTAGCAGCTTATATCAGGCACGCATGAGTGCCATAACCACTGGTGGGTTGCACGTCTCGGCATGGGAAATCTTCCAATTACGCTGACGGACGTTCCGTGAAGCTCACGGAGCACTACTCCTGCTATATCGAGATATATTCCTTTGAGGGATCTACACCCTATTCAGTCGATGAGATCCAAGTTTCCATTCCAGAAGGACGATTCCGCGGACGGGGAAGCCAGCGGCCTGACAGCTTATCAGTGCAGAGACATTACTGTTAGACAACATGTAGGTTATGGGGAGCATGTGTAGGAATGAGATAGTATGTCCTACGCGATTCGATCAAGTCCGTTGCCCTTCGCTTCGCTTGTGGCATACTGGGCAACCTTGAGTAATCCTCGCGCGAAGGATGGCCGTGCTGTGTAGCCGAAGTCATCAGTCGGCAAACCAACAGGAGAAAGGAACAGACACGCACAACGCAACCTTGCCACTCAGACCCGGCTGGCCTCCAATCCCCATACCGACCAATGTTGGATCCGGTTGATGTGGCAGCTCTTCATCGTGCTGGACACAGTCGGCGTGCACGACATGACGACACAGGAAGAGAAGCGCAAGGCTATTGAGTCCTTGCCCAATCGGCTTGTTGCAGATCGGACATGGTGTCTTCGCTGTGATACGAGATATTTAGGTCGATCCCGAATTGGTATGTGGGGTGACTCACCACTGAGGAAGAAGCCGCTCGTCTGATTTCGATGTAGCTTCCGTGCGAAGTCTGCGCAGTCGCCGTTCATGATTGTCTGGCAGCCCTCCAGCAATGACACTTGCAGGTTGAAGTCGTGGAGGATCTTGATGAGGGCGCCCTTCAGACCAGGAATCTCCAGACCGTTCTTTATGCGGCGGATGAGACGAATAGGATCAATCTCGGCTCCAACGTTCTCCAGTAATCCGCGTATGAACGCCGGTCTTGTCTCCGAGTATCGCAAGAGGTCCTCCCAGAGGTCATCGTCGTGCTGCTCCTTGGCGAAATCAATAGCGCGATTGACGTCTCCTAGCCTCTCGATGATGAGATGTAGCGCCTTCTTATTATTGCCCATGCGTCCAAGAAGGAAGACCATCTCTAGTACGAGGTCGCGCTCGTTGCAAACTTTGTACGCCTAGAAGATATACTCGTCAATTAGGTGATCTTTGGCTTGCCCCCCATGACTTACCTCTTCTAAGCTATAGTACTGGCTGGCGCGCAGGAAATCAATGAGTTTGCGTGGGGCATACTCTGCATAGAGCTTGACCTGTGCGAGCAACATCAGCTTGGCATCTTGTGCCCTGTTCGGACTGACCTCACCTGGGTATCGGCGTATGAAGAGGTCAAGTGGGGGTCCTTCTGGAAGAGCGCATTCAAGTAGAGGTATAGATAATATGGCCGGTTCTGCAGCTGCTGCACAACACGAGTCATCTGTATCCATTGCCGGTCAGGAAACTCATCCGAGATCTCCCGGAAAGTGAAGGAACCTGAAAAACTCACGGGTATTGAGTGAATGTGATCGACCAGCAGCGTTATGGCCGCGGTTGGATCAGTATCGATGTCCTCCCCATCCTTCTTGCGCTTCTCCTGTAACTCCTGATCGAACTCGACGAGGAGCAGAGCTTGGTCCTGCACGTCCGTGAAGAGGTTGTTCTCTCGAATGAGATCGAACACATTTGGACGACGTAAGCGGAGGAAGTACGGGAGTGCTTTGCCTGGCTGGCGGTTGAGTGTGTAGAGCTCCGCGAGGCACTCCATGAGAATGACCGTATCCGGCCCGTCAGGCTTCTTAGACGAAGACGACGGCGCACGGTCAAGTTCGGATTGGACGGCTACGATGACGGCGGAAATGTCGTAGATACCCTTCGGCCATGTCTTGATCGTTTGCAGTAGCGTCTAGAAACCAAGTCTTAGCACAAACCCTCATTTCTAGCTATATGCGCATCATCCTACCTGTCGATCGTGTTGAAGAAAGTGTGCAAGGATCATCTCATACACCAGATGTCCCAAAGTCGGCGACTCCGTCGGGACGAACGGGATGATCGCCTGTAATTGGTGCTTCTGCGCAAATACGAAGATCCAATCTTCCCATCGTTTCGTGTCATGGCCGCAGACCTTCGGGCACAAGCGCGCCGCCTTGACGAAGTCGCCCTCGCCGACGAGGTGCTCTACGTAGCGTTGCCCGATCTGCACCGCGTCCAGCTCGTCCTTTTCCGCCTTGGTCACGCCAGGTTCTTCGTGCCCCATGCGCTCGATGACGTCGAGCGCCTCTTCGTACCGCTTCCGCTCGACGAGCCATGCGACGTGGTCGCGCCAGTCGCGCGGCTTCACTACGACGATATCACGGGGACTACAGACGATGTAGTACCTCTCTCCACCTTGTGCAGCGCCGGGAGGGCCCTTAGCTGGGGCGGCCTCGATGTCTACGAGGACATAGTCGTTACATCCCCATCGTTCGTAGCCAGAGATGCCGAGTGCGTCCGCAGAGAGCTCCTCACCCGAGCGCGAGATGATACGGAGCTCGGGGCGTTCTGCGAGCTTGCGCGCCTGCTCCGCCCGATCTGCCGTCGCTTCGTTTCCAGTAAGGAGTGAGGTATCGGGTGGCGTGTACGCGAGGATGAGGAACGAAGTCAGAATAGGGGACACCGTCGAGCGCACTGAGCCGTTTTTCACGAGGGCATCATGGGTTTGGACGGCAGAAGGGGATCGAGTCATGAGATGGGGAACGATGCCGGAGATCATACAGTCGAGCTGGAAGACAGCAGTGATCTCGACGAGCAGAGGAGGGAGATTGGAGCCAGAGGACTTGCGGGGGCGCGCGCGGACGCGCGCAACCTTGATGTGGTCCGCCCAACCAATAAGGAGCGTGTTCTCGTCTTGCCAATGGAGCGTGCACTTGAACAGGTCTGCACGCGGGCTGTCGGCCGGCCGGTCGATGAACGTTATGCGACTCTGCGAATGCGTGTCGTAGATCTTGACGCCCTGGGGGACGCGACGCGAGATGTAATCAGAGAGAGGGTCACGCGCGCGGACGAGATGGGGAAGCGTACGAGGTCGTTCGCCCATGCAATGAGATTGTCGCGCCACCGGACTTGCCAGACGGGCCCCTCGCCAGAGTGGAGGATCGTCTCCTTGTATCCAAGCCAGCCTTTCTCGTGCAGGACGAGGTTACCAGCCATGCCACCTGAGACGACCGAACGCGTACTGCTCTTCGCGAAGCTGGGTTCGAGGGCGACAGTGCGGAGTGGACGTTTCATATTGAAAACGTATGTCTCGGGGTTGGACAGGGAATATACTGCGACCTGTCCTGAGGGCAGCAAAGAGGCCCCGTATAGTCAGCCATTGCACAAGCACATACTGCGAGCCTTGGAAAGGTGAGGTAAGCTTACCGTCTATCGAAGCTGTGGCTATCCAATCGCCTGTGCTATCCATAGATATGTCAAGGATGGATGCAGTATGCGCCGCGAAGGATTTGACCGGCTGGCCAGCCAAGTCGAGTACATGTAGCTTTCCCCCATGTGTTCCAAGAGCCTGACGTAACATGTCAATCTTAACAAACCTTCTGACGGAGAGAACGGATAGACAGACCAGATGCTGGTTCGAATAAGCGAGCGCAGATGCGGAGTCCTTCTGTAGGAGCTGATGCGCAATGCCTCCAAGACGTTCGTACTTGAGCGCGGGCTCGTCATCGTCGTCGTCGTCGTCTTCCTCACCCTCATCCTCTTCCTCTTCATCTGTGGCCTCTTCCTCGCTCTCTTCCCCCTCGCTCTCCTCAGTCTCATTCTCATTCTCCACATGCGCTTCACCATTCTCATGCGACTTCACCTCTTCGTTGTGTTCATCCTCGTCGCTCGCCTCAGTCATGTTGTCCGGACTCGCAGAGATCAGCCCAGCACGCTGTTCCTGACTTAGGTTCCCGTTCTGGTGCTCCAGTGCAGGATCGTTAGGCTCCGCAGACATCCCGCTCTCTAGCTAGCCTCGCGAGCAATTCAGACAACCATAGACACAGACACCAAGCAGTAAACACAGGGCTCGGGAGCGCAGGGAAAGCAGCAGGAAGCCTGAGAGTGGGAGGCGCGAGGATGACGCGCGGTCAATGAGGTCAAGACGATCGCGGAGGCGCCCTCACAGCAGCCAGACCTCGGCCTCTACCTTCACCCTGAGCTTGCACTCGGACGACCATGCCAGCCTTTCCCTCAAATCCGCTCAACGAGGCCGCGTACAGCAGGCTCTTTAGGCGATATCCGGCCCTGTTTGGGGTGCCGTTCGTGCTGCTCATCGTTGGGGCATCGTTCGGCATGCAGCAGTTCACCCAGACGCGGTATGATCTACATTCCCAAAAAGTGACGGCAGTACGTCTCTGTCCTTCATACCACCTCGTTCAGTTCGAGGGACTCATTTATGCGTTATTCGTCGCAGCTGAATAAGGAGCAAGAGTTGGGTCTGCAGAAGAACCGGAAACAGTTCGACATCCGGGAGGAGTATTTTGTGAGCCCCTCGCCCTATAACGCGGATCTATTCCAAGACATCTCATCTTGCATACAGAAACTAAGCTCTACGGCAGCCGAAGACTGGGAGCCGAAGCGCATACAGCGTCCAAAGGGCGTCCCAGATTGGGGCGTACCACCAGAAGAGCCCCCTCAGAAGCGACCATGAACCCGTCCCCTTATCCTATCTCTCACCTGCGACTTTCCTCTGCATCCATATGAAGGCCATCACTACCGGAATAATGTTGTAATCTTAGCCATTCTCGTACGCAGTGCACTGAAGCACCCTCACAATCCGTCAAGCTTCTAGCGACCTTTGTCCCCGAAAGCTATCTATAACACATGTGGAAAGTCGGTCCGTACACTGCTCGTTCAGTACAACACCTTGCTCAGTCTCTGCACCGCGTTCAAGAGGATGTCGCCTTGGCGGACGACGGTCTCGTACTGCGCGTTCTTAACCGATGGCCGGTTGGTCTCGACGACGCCGTTAACCTTATCGATCGTACAGTGTAGTCGGCCAGAGGCGATGAATCGCGAGAGCTCGCTGTGACCAACGATCAATATCTGTTCAGACGGCAAATAGAAGGACTGAAAGGCGTACTTGTCGACAAAGTGGATGCTCACGCCGAACGACCGGGCAAGACTGTCGAGGGTGAGGCTGCGGTAGGACTCCAAAAGCTGGTTATATGCGAGGATGCGCATCTCCCGGACGTAGTAGCGGCTGTGCGGTGCGAGGAGGCGGTTGGGCTTGAGATGTGTTTGCTCGAGCGCGGCTGTATGCCAGTTTAGCAGAGACACGATCGTGCTAAGACAGAGTAAGCGCACCGAGCGCGACGAAAAACTTGTCGTAATGCGAATCATAGAGATTCTTCATCAGGTCGGAAAGTGTGGGAAGTTCTGGCAGGACTTGGATGACTTCAGGAGCCGCGATGAGCTATGGAAGCGCGTTTTAGAGAAGCCAAACCCGGAACGTGGCTACATACACGTACCTTCTTCTTGAGATCCGGTCGGCTCAGGGTGAGCACATTGGCAATAATGGTTGACGCGACGAAGTCGTTGTAAGAAATGAGCTCTGTCGCCGTGAATGTTGACAGCGCGTCGAGGAGCAGCTCGCCACCACGCTTGAATTGTCGGATGGAAAGTAGATGGAGACCACGGTAGACCTTCAGACGGTTCCTCCGGTCCCAATCTCCGCCCTTCTCTACCAGTCTGTAAGGGTATATAGTAAGAGAACTCATTGAAACGACAGCAAACGTACTCTTCTGCCTGCTGCAGGTTCTGCGTGATCAGGTCATGGTCACCGTAGAAGAAACCGATCCGGATGAGGGTCAGGACGATGTCTATCCTTGAACCCAGTCCTGGCGTCTTCTCCAACGCGAGCTTCTGAGCCTCAATTGCCTTGTCCTGGACAGTATCGCATGGCCTATAAATTGACAACATAAGATATAGCCAGACACAAAGGGACATACCTTGTCTCCGATCCTCGTCAAGTAGTTCGCACGAGCGCGAAGTGCGTCTGCGATGTCCGTTTCGCCCTCAGTCTTTTTCGCCTCTTCTAGCCGCTCCTCAATCTTGTCCAGCTCGTCCTTGTTCTCCTTCTCCATACGGTCAAGGAGGGACTGATCTAGAGGCAAGGCGGAGGTCGAGATGACTATTCGGTAGTATGGTGCCATTTCTACGCAACGCATTCAGATGTACGCTCTCAGGGCACAGAGTCTCAAGACTCACGGTCAGCCTGGATGCCCTCAAGGAGGGACTTACGCGCGTTCTCATGGAGGTGCGCGAGGGATGGCGAGGAGAGGACGAAGTAGTCCTGTGCCAGAGAGAGATTCGGGATCGGGAGTACCAAGTCTTCGGCCATTTTTGCGGCTCAGCGGAGGTTATCAACAGTGTTTCCAACAGTGGTTTAGGCGAGCAGCACGACGAGAGCAGCGAGGACGGTCAGTGGAAAGCAGTCGAGATTCGACACTGGAGGTACTGGCAGTCGGTCGGCGCCTGCAAGCGACGCGTCAGTACCGCGAAGGTTCCCACGCTCCTCGACGCGTCACCTCGCGTGCGTTCCCTCCCTACCGGCCACTGAGCCTCTCACTTCGGCGTACTCGCTCTCGTTCCCTACAGCTGCTTTCCACCCGCTTCACGTTTAAGCAAAACTATGCCGACGAAGGAGGAACTGCTGAACCAGGCACAATCGTTGTCCGACCCGAAGCGCGCGGAGGTCCTTTACAAGGAGATTCTGGGTGAGCTCTGACAGATACATTGCCTGCAGCCGGCTTGGGACTCACCTCGCGATACCAAGCATCGCCGATCAGCGAGCATGCTTCTGTAGAGGAAAAGGAGGCTGAACTCCGCCACCAGGAAACCGCCCTGGTTAAGCTCGGAGAGCTATACCGGGACCAGAAGTGCGTACCTCCCTTGTGGCTGAAGCCCACGACACTAAGTATATGTTGTAGCAATGCAAAGGGCGTTGCCGAGGTCATCACTCTGTCGCGCTCCTTTGTGTCTTCCACCGCGAAGGCGAAGACAGCCAAACTCAGTACGTCCCATTCTGTTCCCTCCCAAAGGTCCTGAGTAACCCCAAGTATATAGTCCGAACGCTCCTCGATTGCTTCAATACCATTCCAGATAGCCAGAAGATCCAAATCGATGTCTTGCAGGAGAACATTGAGTGGGCGAAGCGGGAGAAGCGGATATTCTTGAAGCACAGTCTAGAGACCCGGCTTGTCGGCCTGTAAGCACTGTCCCCCCTCCTACCCGTTCTTCCAATCTCAAGAGGTTCACTCTGTAGGCAGCTTGATACGCAACAATACAAGCCTGCGCTCTCTTTGATCGAGTCGCTGCTTACTGAGCTGAAGCGACTGGACGACAAACTTGTCCTTACAGAGGTCCACCTCCTTGAGAGTCGAGTGTATCGCGGAATTGGCAACCTCGCGAAGGCGAAGGTATACCTTCTATGCGGTGCTAGTCTTCAATTCATGCTCACCTCTGGTTCTCTTGGCTACAGGCTGCACTGACTTCCTCGCGTACGGCCGCGAACTCAATATACTGCCCGCCCCAACTCCAAGCGCGTTTGGATCTCCAGTCCGGTATCCTCCACGCAGAAGACAAGGACTACACTACCGCATATTCCTACTTCTACGAGACCTTCGAGAACCTGAGCACACAAGATGACCCAAGTGCACTCGGCGCGCTCAAGTACATGCTTCTCTGCAAGGTTATGTTGAACCTGGTACGTTTCGGCGATATATCGAGCTCCAAAGGGTACAAACTGATTTATTGCCGTTCCGCGCTCAAGCCCGAAGATGTGACATCATTGCTTTCCATCAAGCTTGCGTCCAGGTACGCCCAGCTCCGAGACGTCGAGAGCATGCGTGCCATCGCACGGGCTCACCAGAAGCGGAATCTTGCCGACTTCGAGAAGGCACTCAAGGACTACCAGCAAGGTCAGTGTCGCGTGTTCGCGTTCACAAATATACATATCTGACGCCCCGTGCATCATCAGAGCTCTCGTCGGACACCACGATTCGCACACACCTCTCTGCATTGTACGACACCCTTCTCGAGCAGAACCTCCTTCGGATTGTCGAGCCCTACTCGGTCGTCGAGATCGAGTACATCGCTCAACAAGTCGGACAGGGACGGCAGGCGGTCGAGCTCAAGCTATCACAGATGATCCTCGACAAGGTGTTCCATGGAGTGCTCGACCAAGGTCGGGGATGCCTTCTCATCTTCGAGGAGCCTGAGGCGGATAGGACGTACGGTGCAGCGATTGACACGCTGGAGCAGGTCGGCAAGGTCGTGGATTCACTATACGCAAAGGTACGCTGCTTCGCGCCATGCGCTTGTGTCTTGGTACTCACGCCATCGTGTACAGACTGTAAAACTAGCATAGGGCCCATGTATCTCGTAGTGTCTGTGCATACGTCATTCTCCTCTATCGCCCCTGGTTTGCGCCCGACCGTTCGATTGAATCATGACAGCTGGGGATTTTCGGGATGTTTGCCCCACCTTTGTTTCTTGTTGTACCAAGAGCAAGGTATGCCATGGCTTCTGTCTGCCAACTCCGGATTGGGGCTCGTGGAGTCCAATGGTCCAAAGGTCGCCACAAAGCCATACATGAGGTTGAGGATGTACGGGTTCCGATACTAAGGTGGTGCGTGCAGTACGTCCTGCCTCGTCTGTTGAGATGTTGTCTGCATATAGGTGCAATGATGGCTGGCTTCCGCCAAATGTTCTGCTCTCCCAGGGTCATATCGCGAGCCTACGTTTCAAGCAAGACCAAATGAATTGACCCAAATTTATTCTCTCAATGATAAAATTCCTCTAGAGCGGGCGACTCCTGGTGAGTATCGATCACCATGAGGGCCTCATGAACATGATTTGCAGGCATACGAGCGAAACCTCATTGATAATCCTTGGTCTCTCATACAGGTTTATACACTACTGTACAACGTCGACTACATCTTCGCAAAACAGGGACAACGGTATTCATAGGTCGAGGGTGGCTCGTGCTTTCGGGCGATGGTCAGCCTCTTCAGATTAACCCTTATTCAGGTACGGCCGGGCCCTGATAGCAAGGTGATGAACTGAGGATTATAGACACATTTGCAAGCTCACCGAGTCCGCCTTGCTGTTCCAGGGTATTCTGGGGTCTGAGGAGGGTTATCATCCCTCAGGGCGTTCCTGATGACGGTATGAGGAGGAGGCAAAGTAAGCGCGTCCCTTGAGTTGACGGGGAAGGCGCATCAGCAACACATACATAAACATATCGTGCGAGGTTGTCCTCACCGGGTACGCTCTAGGTCCACGGGCAAGATATCCCGTCTTTGACCGTTCGAATACTCCAAACCAAGCAACTCCTGTGCATAACAGGGATGCAGTTAGTGATAGGTGCGTCCAGCGCCCAAACCTGGAACCACCCACCCCTCTGGTGCTTTCGATGACATCAATAGCTTCGCCGACATAGCTTACGTTGTTCTCGACATATCTGAGGCGCTGGCCCTGGTGATACAGTCCCATTAGGTGCACAACTCAATCCCTTACCATGAGCCGTTGCTACATATACGTACCACAGGGCCCCACTTTCTCGAGGCCGTCGCGGGCTGCTGGGGCTGCTGCTGTCCGTTCCCGTTGACGCCATAGCCACCATAACCAGACCACTGCGTGGTCGTCGTAGCGTATGCTTGCATTCCTGGTCAACAAAGGTGAGGCATGAAAGCGACGTCACTAATTCATAACGTACCAGTACTAAGGAGTGCATTCGGGTGTACAGAGGATGGGTTTTGTCCTGGGGGCAACCCGCACATCCGACCCCTTTTATGCCGCCAGATCCAGCGGCGGCACAGTTACCGACAGACAGGCATAAGAGTACGAAGGCCAAGCTCAGGTTCGATCTCCAAGGTGGACCCACAACAACTCCCTACCCCAAATCGCCTATACAGGGATTACCTTGAGCTTGCCATCCGAGTACACAAGAAGGTGCACAGTAGCGTGCGTGTCTGCGAGCAACCGCGTTGCAGTGTGGTTCGGTACACGCCGCCGAGACAGACTAGCCATACCCAGTGCGACAATCTGCAAGGCAAGTAAACGGATTTGGTCGCGGTGTGAACTTGCCACCGTTGTTGACTCGCTCCTCTGTCAGATTCATCGTTGATAGCTGCGCATACGCAGATCGTTCATGATCCGATTTGTTGAGGGAATGAAGGTACTTCTCTTACAAATCCGTCATGCACAGTATATCCCTTCTGAGCCATACCGAGGGGGTACATATTAGACATCTACAAACAAGTGGAAAAGCTGACATTTCAGACGTCATTGGGAACCAAATACGGCCGCGGGCCGTCGTCTGTCCGGCACTAGTTCCGGAGGAAAGACAAGATCTTTAGGCGGTATGGAGGCAACCACGTTGAGGAGAGTTTTCATTGCCTGGTATGCAGTAGGTCGCGTGGTGGGATCTGGGTCCACCATCGACGTCAATTCAGCATCGATTTCCGGGATTGTACTCTATATTCTGAGAGGTCATGTTGGCTAGATAGCGGGGCTGTACTCAATGCAACAGCGCACCTTGAAGTCATTGAAACTCGTTCCGAGTTGCCATACGTCCAGCTTGAACGGATCATACGGCCTGCCTGAGTCCACTTCAGGCGGCATGGGACGCCCACTAGGCCCTGGGAGCGATCCGCCAGATGGTCGTCCTATGCATACACGCTTCTCTTGTGGAACATCCTTAGTGAAGTGGATGGCAATTTCGAAGTCATTCACGTAGACACGAGGTCGAGAGGGAGGCGTGTCATATTCGAAGCGTAGGGACTCCGGGATCCATTGGATCAAGAAGTTATCCTTGAATGCATCCTAATGTCCAGATTATCAGATTCGCAGTCATCGCACAATGAAAGAATGTACCCTGTGAGCGATGCCGAAGTGATGCAAGAAGACGAGGCCCTGAACATGATCATGAAGTGAGCTACCACACTGTGTCTGCTAGTTGACGGCCCTCGTACCTCTAAACACTGCGCAAGCATGTCCAAAATATCACCCACAGACGCTTCAGCAAAACTGTTGCAGGCATCTAGACAGGAGCATGCGACCTTGGGGAAGACGCCGAATGTGATGTCCCCCAAGTCCATCAAGCCAAGCAAAGGCAACATGTGGTTGGAACTCATAAGACTGTATTTCCCCCTTGAACGTCTGTAGCAGTTTCACATGCTCTCTACCCTCACCGCCAATCGCGAGCACCGGTATCACTACGTCTCGCCCATCGGATGCGCGAGCGGCTCGGGTTAGAGCATTCTATGGACGGGTCAACGGACTGCTTATCAGATTGAAGAAAAGGCCTACCCTATACTGGTAGACAAGGAGTTCTGTAATGCTTCTGGGGTCGTCTGTGAAAGCACGAAGAGGACTCGAATACATGTACCCGTTGGGAACCACTCCGGCTCTACTAGGTGCCGTCGTTAAAAACAGATACTCATACTCCCATAGGGTATATCCACGCTCCGCGAGGAAGCCGCTGAGATCCTTCCAAATTGCTTCCATGAATTTGCGATCCCTTTCTTCACCGGAGGGACCCCGCCAGGTTTTGAGATCGGGAGGCAGCACTGTGAGACAGAGGGCTGTGGAAAACCCCGGGTGGGCAACCGAGGAAAATGCCCTGTCGTGCCTGGGAAACGTGCTCCGAAACCTCGGTTAGACCTGGCTTTTCGGACGAGGAAAAAGGACATCGAAATGACCGATTTCCACGGTCAATTTGGCGTGGTCTCGGACAGGAGAAAACCCCAGGTTTGACCGTGTGTTGGAAAAGCAGGATTTACACCTGTGGAACAGGGGAATTTGCGCGGTTTCCGAGTGCTAGATTCTCGCTCACCGCAGGATATCGATAGGACATCACTCGTAACGCAGTGCGATAATGCCTCAAAACACGCTGCAGAATGCAGCTTTACAGTCTCATTACGGCGCGCTGAGTACATAGTACATATGGGGGTCCAAAGTATAATACAAGCCCGTGACCCTCCAGACTTCTCATTGGCCACATCCTCCT